GCACATCATGCTCATCATGCGCATTTTTGCATAATGCGCATGGGCATGCTCAAATGCTGCATTTTGCCCATCTCTAGTCACAACTATCCCCACATTCTATTTATTTTATTTATACATGATTTGACTCTATTAAACTACGCTACATTTTTAATGCAGTAGGCTATTTTATGTTACATCATTGATTTAACCGACTTACATTTATTAATTTGATATTATTAATTACGTACAAGCTAATGACGTATTTTATCATGTGAGAGGTCATGGTATTAATTAATAATATCTTGTAATTAGTGGATTGTTCCCAGGAAGTGATAACGAAAATACATGACTGATACACGACCCAAGATATTATTATTACTAATATACAATAATTTATTACTGAAATTACAAAATACCGATCATGATTTTTTTAGGGTCCAAATTTTTACTTACTCTCGCGCACTCAAATGCATCCGATTAGCCCATCAGATTTTTTTAATTACGAATAATTAAACCTTTTCCTTGTTATATACGATTTAGCGATAAGAATAAGCACCAATGGGACCTAAGAGGAAAGAGTATAACGTTCTTAATCAGTAGTTTTGTCAAAATTCATACGTTACTAGGACTTGGAATCTCCGCCATCTCCCGAGATCGTCGAGAGATTGTTAATATAAGGGGTCTAATTTCACCAGAAAAACAACAAAATAGATTCAGCATTTGGAACTTATGGCTGAATAGACTTGCTTTACAAGGTGGGATCTAGATTGCGCTACCCTAACACAATTACTAATCATGTAACTTTTTTTCTAGCAGGTTTTTTTAGGTCTAACGAATGGACGGTGTAAAAATAAGCAAGTTTCCACCTTAAGATAAGTTAGCAATAACGTTATTTTTTGCTCATATATTTTTTTTACTTGATTTACTTTCCCGTAATTTGTTTTTAAAGTAATTTACTATTTCATTTAACGGAGACTATGAAAACAAATTTTTACTTACTATGATTTTTGGTATTTAGGTGCGAATAATGAGTAGTAATAAAAAAAATCACCCCCAAGACCACCACGATTCTAACACTTCCCAAACTAACGATCCTAATATCCCCGAGACTAACAATTATAGTGCCTAGAACTAACCAAAGGATACATAATTTCAATCGTCAACGTAATAATAGGAGAGATAGATTTAGAAAGCGTTCTTCATATATTTGTGAAACTAGTAAGGTTAAATCCCATTATGTCCATGTATTCTGTGTATTAAATCAGATGATTCAACCTATGACCCCAAATAAGACGATGACTATAACGTTGATGAAGGTAGACCCTGGAAAAATCGAGAGAAAACTTAGAATGGGAAGAGGAAAAGGACTTCAATGAGTATGAGAATCCTGGACAACGACAAGAAAAACAAATCAAAATTAATAAATAGTTCATATGATTATGTATGCAATGAAATCGGCCACTGGGCTGGTTTTATTATATAATAAAATACATACAGATTATGTACAGTTATAAATTTAATCTTTATTTCTCATTCTGAATATGTAAAGAACATTTAGCATTTTTGATACATGTAATCCTTATTGCTGCAGGAATATCTTTCTATTCTATTTAGAATTCACTGTTGAACTACTTTTGTTTCTTTTCGACCTAGTTGGTGGTGCATGAAATAGTAAAGACATGTTAATAATTATCATGTTTCGTAAGATTAGTAAAATTTTGACGAAATGTTCTACAATGAATGAATCTGAACGTTGCACGGGAATCTTTGCTTCATAGAGATGGTAATAGCGGTGCACGCTAACCACATCCCTAATAAGAACGTTTAATCGCATTATTGATCCTGCTACTTGGATCGCGACGATTCCAAATTCATCATGATCAGGCTTAGTTGATTTGTGAGCCCAGTACATTCCGTCGTTAGCTTCACGCCATAGCTTTATTTCATCGTCTTTATCTTTCTGTAATGTGCAAGACAGACGTGAGCATTCGGAATACATGAGCTCGTAATTTTTTTCCCCGTATTTCACCACAAACATAATATCGGGCCGTCTTCCTCGTTTTTCACCTCGTCTATCTGCACTGGCAGAACTTTGAAGTTCTGCACTAAAAAAGATTTAAAAAAGTTAAAAAAGTTTGTAATAATGGCATTTTTTAATTTTAATGACTCACGTGCTAATAAAGGTAGATTTTCCAAAAGGAAGATCCTTTAATGAAGCCCGAATGGCAGGTACTATTATATTGGTCACGTAAGTACCTTCGCTTTGCAATTTTGCAAACTCAGGGCTGAATGCAGGATTGTTCCATGCATCATTAAGAGTATGCAAAATTCCTGATGCAACCTCTAAAAGCTTCTCATCCGGTTCTTTCCATGATCCATCATGCTTAAGTTTTCTTGGTAAAATATCCATATCTTCATCGACAAAGTCTTCTACGAATTCATTGCATTTATCTCGTATAATTTGTGAAAGTGACGAAGGGACCATATTATCTTTTGGTTTCTAATAATTGCGTAAATTAATGAGTTAAATTTTTCATTGAAAATTTAAAGAGTATTAGTATTCACCATAAAAAGTTTCTTTTGACGAACTGGTAATTGTTGTACCAGATCTGAATCATCGCTTATCACTTTGCTCGCAAGAGGGTTTTTCCAGTTCAACTGAGAGATAGGAACCTGATTGACACCGAAAAGTAATTTCTCGTAAAGTACTGCCATATTCTTCTTAAGTAGTGCTGTACCATGGGTAAGTCTACCCTTTAGTGCATTAATATTTTTTTGGATTTGGTTCGGATTAAGAGGCCCTTCTTCATTAATTTTTACCGCTCCTATTTTATGTAAGCTATAGACGGTTTTGTAGGAGATTTCGAACTAACGCAGGCATACAATTAATTAATTCCCAATTATATAATCGAAAAATATAATTATTAAAAGCGCATGCGCCGTCAGATGATAATAAAGTCCTATTCATGTGTGGTTAGCTACTCCAACACACAAACAAGTCTTTATGTGATACTAAAGCAACCACATAGAATTGAACATATTTCTATAGCCTAATATTCTCCACACTGCCGAGGAAAAATTTTCCTGTGAGTGGGCTAATAGAACATTAGATTATTATGTTCTCTTCCTCAGAATGGTACCACTACCTGCGTAATCATCATTCAAAATAGGTGCTTTATTTGCCCATGAGATTTGAATCTTACCTCAACTAGAATGTCGGAAAGGGCATTCTTATATGAGGAACGTTTTTCCACAAATGCTATAGCTCGTCTGATAATATTTTTCAACTCATTTTTAGGTATCCACGGATTATCTTCGATTCCCTTATAGATAATAGACCCGGCGGTAATATTTTCTTCCTCGGCATTTAACAAAAAATTGCAAATTTTATTGTACAAGTCGTTATTCATGGCAAATATTTTTGTAATTTAGAAGATAATAAATTGTACGTAAGTTAATGAGAATTAATGAGAAAACAATAAAATCACTACAAAGCGATAAATAACTGTAAATTTGATATACTGCCCTATTTATGCCCTATTTATGCATTTTTCATCTCTTCTCTGAAACTCGAAATGTATAGGGAGGTTAGTCAAGGTTGCATTCTTACATCAAAAATTTTTGAAAATAGAAATCATTATATGCATTTCCTACAAAGAAATTTCTATCGATGGGAACAAAGCATGAACTGAACTTTTATATAAATGTATATATCACAAGTATCCGACCATTTTTGGCCCTGTAAATTTTCTGTCGCACAGATAATCTACTATCGCTATGTCAGTCGGGGATATTTCCATATTTGGATAGTGATGATCGCACCATTTATGGTATAGGATCGCCGATCAGATGATTCTA